TAAAAACAGATAAAATTTGTTTTGTTTGCTTGAACAACAACTAGAGCTGGTGGGAAATTAAAAATTCAATACATCTTTACATAACGTTTAACATCTTTGCTACTTCCCGTCGCCGTTAATTTTTTTTATACCCCAAAATTACTTCCGACGACATTCATGGTATAAATAGGGTAACGGATACCTTTACATCCTATTCAAAGTCAACTGCTAAAAACATGTTACCATATATTGCCTCATAGGGGGGATATTTATAGGACACATTTGCCACACTTGTCAGGAGGCAACCGAGGATTATTATTTTAGTTCTTTGGGTTATTAATAGAGTAATCACATCTGGTTGGGCTGGATAAATATATTAAGGGAAAAATAAATATACTTAAATATATATTTAATATACTAACATAAATAAATAAATAATACATAAATAAATAAAAGCCCAACCAGATGGAAACCCGGCAGACGGAGACCAAACGGCCGAGGGTTAAGGGGAAAGGGAAAGAAACCGGCGGACGATGCGGGCGGTATCGAGGAGCACCGCTTTCTGCATTTGAGCCCGGAGCGGTCCGTCACGGAGTCCCAGTCGCCTCAGATGGCCCGAGAGGCTGGCTGGGATTAACCCGTTTGCAGACACGACTACAGGAATAATTTCGGTCGGCAGACCGCCCCACATGTTGGTCACCTCGTGAGCCAGGTCCAGATATTTTGATTGCTTGTCTGTTTCGGCTTTCACGAGGTTCTCGTCGTACGGAATAGTAATGTTGACCAAAAATATCCTTGACTGTGCCCGGTCCATCAGCACAATATCAGGCTTATTTGCAAGAATAGTCCTGTCTGTGATGATGATCCGGTCCCAGTAGAGCGTGGCGCGGTCATTTTCGAGCACGGCTTCCGGCAAGTACTTGTAATAAGGCAATTTTCTGTCCACGAGACCGTATTTCAGAGCGAGCTCCTGGTGTTGAATTCTGGCTACTAGGTTGTGCCTGTGCAAAAGTACTCAGAGTTAGAAAGCGCCGAACAACCGGAGATGACATGCCTAAGTGACTCCCCGGGATAGCGACAAGCACGACAGATGTCGACAGTGCCATCCTTTAGATGTATCTCCGATAGTTGTTGGTCTTAATAACCTGATCCTGTATTGCACAGACAAAACCCTCGGTTTCCCCGAAGAGGTCACCAAAACGTAGCCAAATGAGGGAGGCGACTGTATCTACGAAGGGATCATGTAGAGCCCTGTAGTACCTCCCGTGGAGCTCCTTCTCCTTCCATACGGTCTCCCGGTCGGAAATGCTAAGCACTGCTGGGTCCTGCCATTGCTCGTTGGCGAAGGATAGAGGGGTAAACCCTTTATCACTAGAATTGACGTCATTATAAAATGTATCATCCGATCTGGCCAGGAAGTAATTACGGAGGCTGCACACTTCGCGATTATGCATGGTGAGTGCGCTCAGAAAACTACGCCCACCATGCTTGCGGCAAGTACAGCCTCATACGACAATTGGATGTGCACGGGGGGGACTTTTGGGGGGGTGGGGGAGGAGGTTAGCACTTTGGGGAGGCTTTTCAGCCGGAGTGTCGACGGGGGAATCGCCTCAGAGTTCTTCCTTGGGGGCCTGTCCCAGCTATTCCAATCTGCTGAATTCACAAGTGATGTTTAGCAATTCCACAAGATGGGAGCGACTGGAGGCGAATAACTTGAGGTCATCCATATAGAAAAGGTGGTTCACTTTTGTACCTCCTTTACGAAGCTGAAATCCCCTCCCGGAGCCCTCTAGTAAAGTACTGAGAGGGTTTAGAGAGAGGCAAAACCAGATTGGACTCAGACAATCGCCCTGGAAGATACCCCTTCTTATCCTTATGTGGTACTCCGCAGCCATCTTCCGCTCGCCCAGGTAGCAAAGGATCGTACTCCATTGCTCCATACACTGCTCGAGGAAGTCTCCAACTGTACAGTCAATTTTGTACCGCTGGAGGACTCTCTTTAGCCATGTATGGGGCACCGAGTCGAATGCCTTTCTGTAGTCTATCCAGGCGGCGGAGAAATTCCGACGGTTGCGTTTCACCACTTTGCCAATGACCGCGTCAATGAGGAGTATTTCCTTGGTTCCACGACCACCGCCCCGACATTCATTTTGAGCGCGTGACATCACCTGATTTAGCTCCAGGTGACGAGTGATTCTCGCGCTCAAAATGGATGTCAGTGTCTTATATATGGTGGGTGGAAACGTGATGGGGCGGTATTTGCTCGGGTCTGTGGTATCTGTGTGGATCTTTAGGAACCAAATGAGTGATCCCAGTAGTGAAGAGGCTCGGGAGCGACTTCTGATCGAGAGCCTCTTGAAACTGTCGGGCGAGCATAGCGTGACACACTACGAACCCCTTCAGCCAGTAATGATGCAGCCCGACGAGCCCCGGACTTTTTTCAGTTCGGCGCCCTACAGACCGCCTCGGAACTTACGAAGCCACGTCTTCAGGCGTTATGGTGACAGAGTCCATAGGCGTAACACTTGCACTCTGGCTCGCCACAACTTCCATCCAAGGGCCCTCGCTGTGGTTTACGGGCTCAGACCACAGGCCACGCCAAAATGCGACAGTGTCAGCCTGATCCGGTCCTGGGCTTGCTCCACATACCTCTGGTAGCTCCAATGATTTATAGAGCCTCTTCTGATCACTCTGGAAGAGAAGATTCTGGTTGATCCGCCTTGATCTCTCGCTAAATCGTCGAATCCGCTTCCCCAAGCAGCGATTTTTTGCTTCAGGTCACCTATGCGCTCCATTAGTTTTTGCGTGATATCCGGCTGGCACCCACCCACGGGACGACATCGGATAGTGGGTATTCTCACACCGCCGCTACACGGTCTATACAAACAATGTTTATATTATTCGAATAATGAAACAAAAATAATTCATTTTTTAATGATTCAAAAACATTTACAATCATCGTTCCACTTACTCTAAACTTTCAGTCGGGATAGCCCGAACAACGTCTTATTATATCGATAGCATTACGTAAACAAGATAGTTGATTTTTTTTTATAATTATAACTGTCATATAAAGAGATTTAAAGAGCAACAATTTGATAAATAAATGGGTTTTATTTTATAAAATAGGGATGACAAACGAGTAACACAGATGGTGACAAACAGACATCCGCCTTCGTATAATATTCAAAATGCATTGTCACTCTTGAAGGCTTAAGTCAAATGCTTCGGATCCAGTACGAATGGTCACCTGTTCTCTTTAATCACCATATGAAACACAGCAGCATTAAACTTCTAGCTGTGAGGGCTTGTTTTTTACCCGGTCAAACTGACCCGGTCGAGCTACAACCAGCATGTTGCATCATAGCTTTAGCACGTACAAACATGATTATTTCTTCTCTTAATTATTGGTATTTTTTGTACTTTTCTTATAATATTATTCCAAAAGTCCAATATAGGATTCATCAGAACCTCATATATTTCTTATTATATAATACATACAATTTCATTTTAAAATTTACAAGATGTTGCTTTTAAATACATTTTTTATACTTTTTAGTTAAAACTAGTTCTATTTTTACCTTAAAATCTCATTGTAGTTCTAAGCATAGTTCTAACAGTACAATACAGATATTAATTAAGTAATTAATTGTTAACGAAATAAAAATTTACCATATTTGATGTTTCTATACACGTAACAACATATTTGCAATGTTTTTAAATAATCTCATAACTAGACTGGGAGATAATTAGAGGCCGATTACATTTCATTGTAGTTCTCGAGACGTGAGAGAGCCGTCACCCGGTAAGTTATGGATTGTCGTACGAATAAATTTGACTAATTACAAATGGTGCACAATTACTAATTTCCCACCAAAGACTACTACTACTCTAAACACTATTTCTCACCTTTGCAAATATTTATAATAAAAATAATTGCTATTTAATATAGCATCATCTTGATAAGAACGCAAAATAATAAACCAACCAATCGTCTACCAAAAAGCGTGGAAAGTATAGCAAATATCCTTAAAATATTTATTCAATGAATTTAATTATATTGGGAAGACCTAGGTTCAGCAGTGAATTTTGAAAGGTTAGGATGATAATGATGATGATATTTTAAATGTTTTTCGTTACACAAGTTCTGTATGTTAATGGACGGTCTAAAAATACATTTACGTTGCCTAAAAGAAAACACAATTTTATTCAACGCAAAGGCAACATAACAGCTATTTTGCGTTGTTTTTCGGATCCGTATTTTTGTGTTCGAATTTTGAATTCGAGTATTTTATTAGGTTAAGGTTTATTTTATTACCTTTAGTAACTAATAGGATAACCGCTTTCCTTGCCTTTAAATTGCATACTATTCAAACGAAGCTCAATATCCGGGTACCAACTCGTAATTAAAATTTTAAGTGTTGACATGCTTGACGGTAAAGAAGGGTAAGATGGTAAAGTTTCTGCGCCATAACCCTCTTAGTAATGAAAGGACTGCATATGTAGGTTTATTTATGCCATTATGAACGTCGATTTACTATAGGTTAGTAAACCTCTTATTTTCCCCCGAATTTATACACAGTCACTTAATATGAATTTATTGTGATAGTAACCGCATAATTAACAGCTATTAACTGTTACTATAATATTAAATTAAGTAGAGAGTAAAAGCTCTTGAGAGATTTGAATATATTTTATAATATTTACAATATATTTTCAAAATGGAAAAATATACCAGAGGGTTTAAATCTATAAGATGTTTCTTCACAACAACGATGTTTCTAAAAGATTTAGGAAATGGACATAGTTAAATAAAAAACAAATTCCTTAAGGAAAATTACTCAAAATCGAAGCTGTTGATTTTAGTAAATTCAAAAATCCAGTCATACGGTCCTCAAGGGTCGGCATAGTTTTCAAATAAATCTACGCTCAGTCTTATTTAATTTTATTCTTACTTTGGTTTAGCTAATCTCAACATTTTTTACAGTAACATAGTCACGACGAACAATATAAAACTTCATTTAAATGCAGCTCTCTTTTACTCTTCTCGACGTGGTGACGATTTCGGGGCGTAGACGAGCCGCTGCAATATCAGCGCTCCGAGCGATCACGCCGCGATTAACAAGGCCTGCATTCTGTAAATCAAAAAATAATTGAGGTCTATGTTCATCACTACCGAGTGGTGGATGAAGTGAGTCCGTCACTTCATTTTTTCTCGTGATTTATCATTTTACGCCAGAAGTAAAATGAACGGAATGGAGATGGGCGGCAGCGTGCAAGCTGTGAGACGTTTGGTACAGTGACCGTCAATTCACCTGCTGCGCTTAGCAGTTGCTGTGTTTATCATCAGATGTAATCGTCATCACAACCATAATCATTACATTCCATCACAATTATACCGCTGAAAATAGACCATCGGACGTAATGAATATTACAAGTATATATTATATGTAATTACAACACTTAGTATATTCGTAGCCACGGACTAGAAAAAGTCGTGGCTTTGCTTCTTGGGATTTTCTTATTTGTCATTTCATAATTGTTATTGGATGTAGATCTGTTCGTTTAACACTTGCAACTCGTCCTAGCTTTGCGTAGGCATGTTCGTAATGTGGTGTTGCCTCATTGTGACTTCATCACAAAACATAAATATTCAACAGATTCAGACGTTACTTTGCGAAAATGCACTATATTATTAAAGATGTACAAAATAATATAATAACAAGTAGCCAAGATCCGCGTAGTAAAATAAAATGTGTTATAACTAGTTTGTTTGCTGTGTTTAACAGCAGCAGTGGACTTATACTGCCTGAAAGTGAAGAAAAAAAAGAAGTTACAACTAAAAATCAACATCCCAACTGTCGTCCAACTTCAATTTGTGACAGAGATGCGTGAGACGTTTTTGTAAATATGAAAAACACCAAAATATAATTAATTTTTTTATTTTAATTGCCGGTAAAAGAATATTTTGATTTTATTAATTCGCTACAGTGTTTGTATCATATGAAAGTATCTCTCTCTTTTTCTTATTCTGTACTTGGAAATGCTACACTTGGACAAGACAAGACAATACGTTACCACCACTAGAATTTTATCCTGTATCGTCGAGGCAGTTTACATAAATAAATTGCACTAGGTCAATCATCCAGATCTGGAACAATTACTTGTAGGCCATCATCATCATCATCATCATCATTACAGCCCTTCACAAGTCCACTGCTGAACATAGGCCTCCCCCAAGTAATGCCACAAAGCACGGTCCTGAGCCACCTGCATCCATCGACTTCCTGCATATCTTACCAGGTCGTCACTCCATCTAGTGGGGGTCGCCCTACACTACGCCTACCGGTACGAGGCTGCCACTCGAGAACCTTTCTTCCCCATCGGTTATCGGTTCTTCGAGCTATATGGCCGGCCCATTGCCACTTCAGCTTACTAATCCGTTGGGCTATGTCGGTCACTCTGGTTCTACTGCGGATATCCTCATTTCTGAGTCTATCACGCAGAGAAACTCCGAGCATAGCCCTCTCCATAGCTCGCTGAGCGACCTTGAGCGTCCTCATACGGCCAGCAGTGAAGGACCACGTCTCTGATCCGTAAGTCATCACTGGCAACACGCACTGGTTGTACACTTTAGTTTTCAGAGATTGAGGTATACCTGACGAGAAGATGTGTCGTAATTTCCCGAACGCTGCCCAGCCGAGTTGAATCCGTCGATTGACCTCTCGGTCGAAGTTGGACTTACCTAGTCGGACTATTTGTCCCAGGTAAACGTACTCGTCAACAACTTCGAGCATAGTGCTCCCCACAACTACCGGCATAGGTGTGACATGGACATTGAACATAATCTTTGTTTTGTCCATGTTCATCTTAAGACCTATCCGTTGGGAGACACCATTGAGGTCATTGAGCATAGTGCTAAGGTCCTCCAGCGATTCTGCCATAAGGACTATATCGTCGGCAAATCGAAGGTGAGTGATGTACTCGCCATTGATGTTAATACCGTATCCTTTCCAGTCCAGTAGCTTGAAAACGTCTTCCAAAGCAGCGGTGAAGAGTTTCGGGGATATAACGTCACCCTGTCTTACACCTCTCTGCAGTTGGATAGGTTTCGAGCTCTGGTTCTGTACTCAGATAGCCATCGTAGCCCTACTGTACAAACACTTCAGCACTTCGATATACCGACAGTCAACTTGGCACCGCTGAAGGGACTGCAGCACCGCCCAAATTTCGACGGAATCAAAGGCTTTCTCATAGTCCACATACGCCAGGCAAAGTGGCAAATTGTACTCGTCAGTCTTCTGTACAATCTGCCGCAGGGTATGTATGTGGTCTATGGTACTGAAGCCTTTTCGGAAACCGGCTTGTTCGGGAGGCTGGAAGTCGTCGAGTCTGCTTGCGAGACGATTCGTAATGACTCTCGAAAACAGCACGTAGACGCGGCTCAGAAGGGAAATCGGTCTGTAGTTCTTCAAGAGAGCGTTGTCGCCTTTCTTAAAGAACAAGACCACCGCACTTCTGCTCCACGCCTCTGGAGTAGTGCCACCATAGAGGACGGAATTGAAGAGCTTCTGAAGGACTTCAAGTACCGGTGTTCCACCCGCTTTCAGAAGCTCCGCTGTAATTCCATCCTCGCCCGGGGCCTTGCCGTTTTTAAGGTGTTGGAGAGCCATTCTAATCTCGCTCAGACTGACGTCCGGGATATCATCGGAATAGTGTCGGATAAGACTTGCTCTTGGATCGTTACTCACACTTGAGTGTGGCTCCAACGATGATGTGTACAGCTGCCCATAGAACCTCTCAATCTCACTCAGAATCTCAGGTGTCCCGGAAACGATGTTGCCACACTCAGTCTTCAGCCTTGACAGTTGGCTCTTTCTGGCAGACAGATCTCTGGCAAAGACTTTGGAGCCCTGGTTCCGCTCGATCGCTTCTTTAATACGAGAAGTATTAAAGTTGCGTAAGTCTCGCCGCATGCATTTGGAGATCTGTCTATTCAGTTGCCTGTATGCTGTCAAATCTGTTGACGATTGCAGCCTCATCTCCCGTCTAACAGCCATGAGATTAAGAGTGTGATCGGAGAGTTTTTGTGTTCTTCTGCGGCGGGTCTTGCAGAACTTAGCTCCGACTGCATGGACAGTTTCCACGAGCTTGTCATTCATATCGTCCACTGCATTGCAATCTTGTAGGCACTGAAAGCGGTTGTGTAACTCGAGCTGAAAGTTTTCGGGATTCTGGATTAGAGCACGAGGGGGACGGAGCGTTGACTTCATTAGACGAGACCTCTCCAACTTAACGTTTAGGTTCAGTGTGCCTCTAACCATTCGGTGATCGCTGCCAGTTTTCACCCTTGCGATCACTGAGACATCACTGAACAGTTGGCGTCTGGTCGTCATAATGAAGTCAATCTCATTTTTTGTCGAACCGTCGGGGCTCGACCAGGTCCACTTCCTGTGGGGCCGCTTCTGGAAGAAAGAGTTCATCATAAAGAGTCCCTCTTTCTCCATAAAGTCGGCCAGCTGCTGGCCCCTTCGGTTCCGTTGCCCTATTCCAAATTTCCCTAACTTCAGCTCACCGTTTTCTCTTGTGCCTAGTTTTGCGTTGAAGTCTCCCATCAACACCGTGTAGTGGGTTTTGGAGGAATGCATGGCTTTGGAAATATCCTCATACATTTCCTCCACCTCCTCATCGGAATGTGCCGAGGTTGGTGCGTAAACCTGTATGACCTTCAGCGAATACCGTTTGGTGATTCTGAGTATCAGGTACGCGACCCTCGTCGACACACTCCCAATCTTTACAACGTTGTTGACGAGATACTTGTGGACGATAAATCCGACACCTCCTTGGGACAGATGGTCGCCCTCCCGGTGATAGAACAAGTTGCCGGATTCGAGAATCACCGTGTCCTCCCCCTCTCTTCGGACCTCGGATAATCCTATAATACTCCAGCGCAACTTGTCTATCTCTTCTTCCAGCTCCAGGATCTTCTCGTCAGTCCTCAGTGTGCGTGCGTTAAATGTTGCCAGGTCGAGTCGTCGTAGGTGGCAACCGAACCTCCACCGGAGATTCTTAGCACCCCCTGCCCCGCCGTTACCATGGTCGCCACCGTAGCCAGGAATAGCGGAGCCGCCGGGGACTGGGGGCCGTCTATTTGTGTAATTGTTCATGGGGGGTATATTGCCATAGTTGCCACGCTTGGCGAGCGGGTTGGCAACCGCAGTTTTTTTTTATCGTACAGTTGCTGTTATCAGGAAGATGCTGCTGCCCATCTCCTGCCTGTCTCCCTCTGTCGCCTTTTACGACACCCACGGGAAGATATGGGGTAGTGGATATTCTTAACCGCCACTACACGGCAAGGCATAGGCCATACAAATACTTATTTCGTACTGGATTCAAACCCGTGGCTCTATACGCCTTAACTCATTGCTAAACCACTGTGCCGCGGACTGTCTGAATACTTTTGTAAGTTTAATTTAATTAGTTGAAAGAAAAATATTGTATTTTGTTTTTATTGATTTGCTACTAAATTGTTTACATATAAATTATACACTTGGACAAGAAAGGTACGTGTGATATACTCGATAAAGTTCTAGATGTATCGTTTAATTCAAAAGTGAGGGTTCGTCCTTTCGGGTTAGCTATGCACTGATGAGTTCCAAACTTTAAGGTCCTTTTTGGGTGCATTATATAGGACATGCTTCAGTTACCGATGGCTCGATGTTTTACGATCTGTATTGTTGTATTATTGTGAGCTACGCTATTGTGTTAATAACTTTAAAAAAAGAAACATACCTGCAGAGTTTCTTTCGCCATTTCATCTCAGGACATAGGAATATCATTTCGAAAGGATGAAAAAATAGTCTTTTGAAAAAAAAAAGAACTTTAATTTAATTTACTTATCTGCGGTGTGGCTTTACCGTTACGAAAATAAAAAGGTCGGTAAACCTGCGCTAGGCTGCAATAATTTAATTGTTTGTATGAGATCTTATACTCACAGTGCATGATAACGATTGCTCGTTGTATATCCGCGTCGGATCACTTTCTTCAAATGACGACTTAATATATTCATCCATTGGTTTTTTATCTAAAAACAAAAATGTAAAGACAACAAGTAACATAAATGTATGTTAAGTCTAAAAAGTACTAAATACGTTATCGAAAGGTCTTCAAAATAATTACGCAATAAGTGACTTACACACTAGTTTTTAAATTTTATTATAAAAACAACTTGCGGACGTAGTTAGAATTATTATCTTGATTTTGACATAGACATGAATGTTGCAAAGTTGCATCCCTTTGCATTTTCTCTCGTATCTACCATGGAGAGTGTTCTGACGAATTGTTCAGATTAGGTCCAGCCGCCAAATTTCATGAACTCACATCGCGTCAAAATTCCCGATACCATCATCACCATATGAATGCTTGGCGGTCCACTACTGTACGTTTTACTAGGAGTTTTCTTCCTCGTATAACTTTTCTGTGGAATTTTTTACCACCGGCAACTTTTCCGAACCGATACGACTTAGGGACCTTCAAGAAAAAAGCTTACTTCTTTCTAAAAGGCCGGCAACGCATCCGCAATTCCCCTGGTGTTGCGGTTGTTCATGGGCGGCGGTAGTCACTTACCATGAGGTGAGCCAAATGCTCGTTTGCCCCTCTTCTATAAAAAAGACGTAGAGATATGTTTCATTAGCATCAATACAGTCAAAAAGTTAAAGTTAATGACAACAAAAACATACAAGGTACAAGAAGGAAGACATAAATAAAAATAGATCCCAGCAAGAGTGAGTGATGTGATGCCAAAAAAGATTCAGTCTCAGAATACGCTACCGCAGGTACTGCAGTAGCGCTGATTTTCAGCGGAGTTCTGATAAATTTTGGTGCTTACATCCCTTAAAAGTTTTAGTTTTTTATTTATTTAATTAAATATCTTCATCTTCATCACTACAGATTCTCTCTAGAGACTCTATAGATTGTATCAAAAAGCAAATATCCCCCTTATTGCCTTAGTTCCCATGTTTGGCAGGCGTGATAACAACAGCAGTTTTTTAAATTATTTGTCTTTTTAGGGTTCCGTAGTCAACTAGGAACCCTTATAGTTTCGCCATGTATGTCTGTCCGTCTGTCCGTCCTCGCTTAATCTCTGTGACCGTTAGCACTAGAAAGCTGAAATTTGGTACCAATATGTATGTATCAATCATGCCGACAAAGTGGTAAAATAAAAATTGGAAAAAATGTTTTATTAGGGTAGCCCCCCTATATGTAAAGTGGAAAGTGATTTTTTTATTTCAACCCTAACGTATGATATATTGTTGGAAAGGTATTTAAAAATGAATAGGGGTCTAGTAAAATCATTTTTTGATAATGTCAATAATTTCGGCAATAATCGCTCCAAAAGTAAAAAACAATGTGTAAAAAACAAGGGGGGGGGCCTCTAACTTTTGAACCATAAGTTTATAAAATATGAAAAAAATCTGAAAAGTAGAACTTCATAAGGAATTTCTAGGAAAATCATTTTGAACTTGGATGGAAACAACAGTACCCACTACCGGGAGCAGTTGCAGGAGCGCGGAGCGCTGCTGGAGCGCGAACATAATGGATACCCACCTTTAAACTCATAAGTGGGAACACTTATTGTGACGGACGAGAAACTATGGAACCCTACACTGAGCGTGGCCCGACACGCTCTTGGCCGGTTTTTTATTATGTAGATATTGCTGTCCATCTGTTTTAGTTTCTCTCTGTCGCCTCGTACGATAACTAGAGGGTGATAGTGGATAGTTTCCATTTTTCCATAACACGATAGTTAATTGTATTACATAGAACTAGTTTTTACGGATTTTATTACGTATATAAACTTATTTTATATTCCCGATGAGAACTTTACAGCAGCCATGGTCACGGAAGGGATTGTAATACAACTTCATAATCTGTGGGGGACTGAAGTGTTTTACATCCTAATGTCATAGTTAACTACGGTTACCTTCAGATTAAAAATATTAATTTTTGTTCCGATCTACGCAGTACGGACTAATTTTATTTAAATGTGTAGTGTTCGCATAAATATAAGAAATAATTATGTTAACCCTTTATATAATTTTTTTTAAATTTTAATATAATATAAAAGTTTAATTTACTGCCTATAGACGTCCTACTGATGGGTACAGGCTTGCTCTCATTTCTGAAATGGTTTTAGGGCAAGAAAATCTCCTCCACGCTGCGTGTTGGTGAACTTTCTAAATTTTATAAAATATTAAATTAGCACATACATATTTAATTAAAAAATTCAATATCAATTCTTATTACTCAATCAAACATTCTTATTTTCTTTTGCTTACGAATTACTCACCGTAATGAAATGGAACAATGTCCGGATCAGTCTCTTCAAAGTCACCACTCTCCTCTTTCAGCTCGTATTGACTGCTGTAATCAACTTTGGGCGAGGCTGAGTAAGTAACATCATCTTTATCTCTTCTTGGAAAGGAGTCTAAGCTATCTTCTGAATACAACGCATTGCTGTTAAAACAAATATGCATTTTGGTATAGCTCTATTTGGATTAAAAGTAAAGTTAGGTTAAGGCGTATTCACATGCCACTATGCACAGGACTTTTTAGAACTGAGATGATAAATATAATTTTTTTTGGATTTATTTTATCCCAAAATATTCATTCTAAATCTTTGTTGAGAAGGGAAAACCATTATTAATGTGCTTAGGGTTCACTTTGCACTGACTATAGATCTGGAAAATGATATAACATCTTGTTCCGAGGAGTGTTTATTGCAAACTGTTTTATATTTTACACAGCGCGTAGAAAATGTGTGTATCCATAATTATAAGCATAATAAATATTATAATACATTTTACCATCACCTAAGATCATAAGGAAGGACCTGTTTATTCGTGCCGCAAAATATTAGTGCTTGCACAACTGTGTTCCGCTCTGAATCTTCAGAGATGACAATGCAGCTGTATACTCTTTTGTTTGGAAGTTGGCAGCAGGAGCCCACGGCTGCAGTAGTCACTTATTATCAGTTGAACCTTAAGTTCGTTCGTCGTTTATATTTTATAAAATAAAGAATCGAAAAGAAAATGAAACACATGTGTTGACTATGTTGTATTTTTTATTTAGCTATCAAGCCGAAAAAGAATATTTTACCTTGAATCCGTTCCTTCGATTTTAAAACTAACGTAATAACACGATAGTAATCAATATACATTTAAAATTTTAGTTAGTCAAAGGTTATTGTTTCAAAAAGCTCTGTCTGATCGACAACATGGCCTAGCTGTTGGAGTACCCGGTCCTGGGTTTTAATCATAGCTGGAACCTATATTTGTGTCAAAACATAAATCGCTAGTTAAAGAATCTGATTGCTTTTGCATATTCTATGTATTTCTACGTATATCCCACGGCAATTATAACACGTTGACAACGTTAACCTACATGTTAACAGGTTTTCGACTTGCTGTGTATAAGAATTTTATGTTATTTTTTTTTTTTTTTTTTTTATTTTCCTACTTTTTTTTTTTGTCGTTGGTGTTTTTGTTTTTTCCTTTTCCTTTTGGTCGTTTCAACCCGAGGAGGGGTGTGGAAATATAGTAAATAAAAAAATATATAACATTACATTTAAATTTTCTTTCTTAATTTTACAAGGACGCCGGAATACCCGCAACAATTATTTGTAAGCCATACAAATACATGTTCCGTACGTGCCGTGAACTTAAAGCTGCAATAATCCACTACGTCACCGAGCTATCTGAAAAAGGAATATAACATTGTTACTAACGTTGAGGGTGGATGCTTGTGATGCCTCGCAACGTGGCGTTTGTACAACGCGGCGATGACTCCGCAAACGGCGGCGCACAAGAAGCCTGCTGTTGTGAGTAGTGCGAGTAACATCGGTGATATGGAGACAGTGTTGCTTGTACCTTAGATTAAAAGAAATTTAGTTGTTTTTACTAACATTCTACTATAAATGAGACTTCTTAACCGATATTTAGCGACTATATTAAAACATCTAATATTAGCTATCGTACTTTATATACATCATGAAAACTAAAATAGAATTGATATTATTTTGTGCTAGTATTTGATTCCTCACAACTATTACTGAATATTAACAAGAAGCCTTTTTTATGGGCTACAGTAGCCACTTACCATCAAGTACACTGTAAGTAAATTTTACTATTTAATTTTATTTAAAAAAGCAACCAAATACAATCTACAGAAAACTCTTTGCGATTTCAGGACTTATATATTTGAATGTGACAATAAATGTATATCATGAAACTTGAATTGTAGCTTTGCTTAACTAGCATCTTGAAATATCAGTGTTATATATAAAAACGCTGCTGTATAAAGCACATTAGCATAACACTGATATTTTACGTTGGTGTTCTGTGAAGGCGTTGCCTTTCCGGCCGACAGCGTGGATCTATCACGTACGAAAATTGAGTTTTATTGCATGACTATCTTTTTTATAGAGAACATTTTCACTCTTATACAATAATTTCAGTTTATCAAAGTCTACTGCTAAACATAGCCCTAGATGACATAAATAGACACCACGCTTGGTATTGCAACTGATGCCCATGCTGCTGCCCATCTCGTGTTAAAGACCCTCTGTTGCCGTGTACGACACCTGCTGGATGTGGGGTAGTGAATATTTTATTTTTACACAGCAACTTTTTCAACAGTAAAATTAAATTTGGACTTAGTGAAAAAAAAGTATATTTTTGGGACTTTACAGCGTACATCCCATAAATGAATTAGTAACTGTGAAGTCCGTTAATTTACATTTTTATAGAGTAAGGGTGACAAACGAGCACGCAGTTGATCACCCAATGGTGAGTGGATGCTGAGGCCTATAGACATCTACATTTATCCTCGATTAATAATAAAAATACAGATGCTCTGACCCTGAGGATTAAGATAGAATGCTTCGTTTCGAGTAAAAGGGTATCCGTGTATCTCCACTTGCCATTTGAAACACAGCAGCATTAAGCCATTATTTTATGCTGGTATTCTGTGTGAGCGTGGTCATTCTGCGGTCGAACCGACCAATTCGTGCTGCAACCATAATATTGTTGCAGCATTGCCTTACCATCTAGTATCTAGATGTTTGTGCTGTTAGTCTTTGCGACTCTTACAGCTTCATCTGACTCAGGGCTTTGCAGGCCGCGAGCTATTTAAAAAAAGGGAAAGGCAATGAGGTGAAGATGATGATGAAATGGTTTATGATTTGGTATTGTTACCAATCATCATGTCGCCCTTTTTAGGCGTTTTTTGAGCTATCTAACCGCAGTTCGAGGGGGGAGTGCGGACCCTCGTCTCTGACCGCTCAGCTCGTGGCGGTCGATGGGCTGGGCGGTGAGAACCGTCCAGGAACGCGGGTGTACGGTATGTACGCGATGTGAGCTGAAACGCATGGTGACCGTCTGCAGGTGCGACGCGTCCCATTCGTTGTCCTAGTAGTGTTTGTCCCATTTAGTGTGGCTGTAGTGTCGTTGTGTGATGTGCCTGCGACGTTTGGGTCGACTGGACCGAGCGGTTGAGATGGTTCTATTAGCACATTTCGCGGTCTACGGAGATAGGGCGCGACGTTTGTTATCGGAACGTAGTTAGCTGCGTTTGTCGCTAGCGGGTTAGGGTGGGTTTCTACTCTATTACTTCGATAGACTAGCGCTGGGACATCTCCTTGAAGTATTCGGAGATAGATGGTAATTCACAATCATTGTACAAATCAGAGTTCCGTTGATACCACCGCGCACCGGTGGCTTTTCGGATGAAAAAGTTTTGGACTCTTTGGAGTTTTAAAATGTGGGTCTTATACGTGTGGGCGAAAGCTACACTAGCGTAGGACATAATTGGTCTAACGCAGGTTTTATCGGATCAGTCGGAGTTTGTGTCTTAGCGACAGCTTACTCCTGCTGTTAACGAGAGGGTGTAGATGGCCAATGACCGACTTGGCTCTGTTGAGTACTACACTTATGTGTGTCGTGAAACTCATGCGGGATTCGAACGTGACGCCTAGGTATTTGGCCGATTTTTCCCAAGGGATTGGGCGGTCGTATAGGGAAATCGTTTTTGGTTTAGAACCTGCTGTTGAATTTCGTTGAAAGTATATTGCTATACTCTTTTCGGGATTCACATCTATTCTCCATTGGCGGAACCATTCACCTAAGCGATTGGTGGCTTTTTAGAGCTTTAACGAGAGTCTATTTTTGTTACAGTCTGTCACATAGAGTGCCGTATCGTCGGCGAAGAGTGCGGTGTTCACCACGGGGTCTTTAGGGATATCACTCGTGAAGAGTGTAAGGAGGAGTGGAGATATGACGGAGCCCTCGATATCGAAAAGAAGGCTCGTTCGAAAGGAAGGCTCGTATGATGTGCACGAGCTAACAGGCACGTTTAGTTTGTACAGCTTGTAAATCAAACCGTCGTGCCAGACCTTGTCAAACGCCTTCGCGACATCGAAGAACAGGGCTCCCGTGTTTCGAGCCATTTTCCTTATCGGGTTTTGGTTGAAGCCAGACAGAATGTATTCTGTTAGGCGATGAATCTGGTGGGTGCATGAGTGATTGGCTCTAAAGCCAAACTGCTCGTCTGGGAGGAGTCTGTTGGATGCGGTGTAAAGACGGAGACGCTTGTGAATAATGCGCTCGTATAGCTTACCCAAAATGTGAAGCAGTAATGGGTCTGTAGCTAGAGGGACGATTACGCGGTTTACCCGGTTTTGGGATCCCTATTACGTCTGCTTCTTTCCAGATGTCCGTGAAAGAGCAGTTCGTGAGAAGAGTGTTAAATATTCCTACAAGAAGGTAAATAAGTGGCGGCGAAAGGGATTTGATCACCTTGTTGCTGATGCCGTCTGGCCCAGGGGCTGATCTATTCTTAGGCTTTTGATAGTTTCGGTGACCTCATCTACTGTCACAGGATTGAGTGGTTAGTACGCTGGTGGCAGCGCAGCCCTACGTTCTACTTTCGTTTCTACCTCTAGTAGGTGAGCGGGATCTGTTGGTGCGGTGGATGGCGTGTACTGGTACTCTAGACTATCGGCTAGGCATTCGGCTTTTTCGAGATCGTCTAGGACGTGATCAGGGTGGTTCAGCCTCACGAGAGGCGGCATCGGTGAGGATTTATCGGCTTTAAGAGTTCTCGTTAATTTCCAGAAGGCGTCTTGAGATGGTTCGATACCTTCTAAGAGGTTATCCCAGCTATCGTTTCTAAATTCGGCTACTCGTTGTTTAATCTCGTTTTGTAGAGAACGTACCCGAAGTTTATTGGCTTCCGTGCGGTAGCGGTCATATGTTTTGGGCGCGAAATTCTTCGCTCTAATCAGCCGTCGAACATGCGCCGGAAGTTTCGTGTATTGATCGCTCGACACACGAACATTACGGGAGCATTCTTCGACCGCTGATGTGAGGTGAGTCGAAAGGGCGTTAATCGCCCCGTCGGCCTCCTCTAGCGAGTCTATCTTGTCAGGTATAGTGTCGAAATGTTGTGAGTTCGTAGACTTAAGTTTAACCTCAAGTTTACGCCAGTCGACAATAGTTTTGGTCAGAGGGACCTCACCTGCCGGCCGGCCCAGTTGCAAAACGACCGGCCTGTGGTCTGAGACTAGTTCGATAATAGCCTCTATCGAATTAATAGTCAGTCGGATGTCTTTTAGCAGTGCTATATCAAGAACGTTCGGATGTTGGTTATTTGCAAAAGGATAGCGTGTTGGACTCTCGGGAGCGATAACATCGAAGTTAAGTCTCTCCGTGAGGTCTCTTAAAATAATTCCGTTAGGATTGTTAACGTTAGAATTCCAGCTAACGTGTTTACTATTTAGGTCTCCCGCGATTATTACGCTAGGGCCTAGGTTTAATAGAGCCGATGTGTCGGAATCTAATATACTTTTTAAGGGAGACAGGTATGCTGATGCAATTAATATTGGCGGATGGCCCGTAAGTGCTATCCTACAGACTACCTATCAGTATACATTGCAAAGACCTTTTGTAGTAGATCAAGGTGCCGCCTTTAGGTCCGGTCAGCATATCATTTCTTACTTAGGTATAATTGGCTATTTTGGGATCGCTCAAACTAGGTTTCAAGAAGGTCTCTTGCACTAGCATGATGTCGATGTCATGGTCTCGTAAAATATATATGATCTCTTCCTTTAGATCTCTGATACCGTTTGCATTAAAGTACGCGACAGTCACAGACCTAGGCTTGGTTCTACCTATAGGTCGTATTTCCATTTTGGTTATAAAAAGAAAAAATTGGCTTAGGCGCACTGGAATGAACCTATCGCTTGGATAAGACTGATATGCTCAATGGTAGCATTGAGCATATCATTCATGTCTTGAATGGACTTCGCGGAGTTTGCGGGCTAAGGTTGTGACTTCGGCCACATTAATATTGCTGGCGAAGTTGAACACTAACGAAAGGTCATTGTCGATGTTTGACGGTGCCTGAGGGGCGCGTTTGGGCTTCTGGGCCTGGCGAGGAGGCACTGGCCGTGAGGCGGCAGCGCTGATGATCGCCGGGGGCCTAACCCATGCGTTGGTGACCTCCCCTAGAGCCTTCAGCACCGTTAGGTGCCTTCAGCACCTAACGGTGCTGAAGGTACTAGGGAGCTTGGGCCTTGCCCGGGAGTCCCTTTAACGGGGGCGGGCTTGGCTGTAGCCTGAGCGGGCGCGGGTTGTGGCACAGAGGTTGGTGCGACTGATGAGGCAGAAGGCCGTGGGCGCGATCTACTGGAGTTGCCCGCCCGCCCGCGTCGGATTGCTCCTTCGTTCGGCTTCCTACGCGGCGCTTTGGTACACCCGCGATAGCTCGCTGAGTATCCCTCTTCGCCGTACAGAATACAGGACGGAGCACCCTCCGACTCGGGCGTTCGGGGGCAGTCGGGTGTGCCATGATCGCCGAGGCACTAACACGGAGGTTACGGTCCTCCGCGAGGGAGTATGTGTGAAAGCTCAGATTTTGAGCTTTTAAATGCGCAGTTAAAGCGCGGAAATCGTCCGTCGTTGCGACGTGAATACGAATGCCCTGCGGTCCATTGTGGACTTTGGGGCAGAAGATCTTTTTTGAGTCTATCCACTTCGATAGGTTGCTCCAGCGGGATTTATTCTGCAAAATTATTGGAGGCGGCGGCTTCTCCTTCCTTACTACGGCCGGAGTCGGGTTCGCGGCTTTGTTCGCGGTCCTATTGCGCGCAGAAGGCGCGACTTTTTTTAGCCGGAGTGGCGTTGGGCGACGTAGGTGCCGAGTGAGGCTCGTCTCCCTTTTTCGCGGCGGTGCGCTTACGCTTTTTACCCGAGACTATGGTGAAGCCTTCGTCATCGGGTTTTTGGGGTCAGTGGTTGTCTGTTTCTATCTCGGAGCCTGATTCGGCGTCCAAAACAACGGAGAGGGACCGCGGGTGGAGAGCGCAGAAGGCGCGGGGACGCGGCGTCGTAAACTGTGTCTACGGATACAGGAGTCCTCGGCGACATAGGGTCGTCGATCCGTACTACGGTACGTTCAGCAGCGGGCTTGTTGCGCTGGGCTAGGAAAGTCGCCCAAGCGTCGGTGCATACTTGACCGAAGAAGTCGGCGAGTTCGGCTATAGTGATAGCCGCCATCTTGTCAGTGGTTGAAAAGCACTTGTGTATCAAGCCCCCCACCTTTCGGCGGGGGAGGTGTGTGCCTAAACGAACACTTATACAACTGACGCATTGGTACGCTAGAGTGTGTACTTAGCTGTCGCCTAATGCGACAGACATTAAACCAATAGAATTGCTGCCTCTGAGGCAGCGGGTGTGCAATAAACTACTTACAGTTTTTACTGGAAATCGGCAGAACGTAGGGTACTAACTAGAACTACACAATAGAACAATGGGCCGGCGGCCCTGATGCACCTGGCGGCCGTAAAGGCGCACAACGATCCAAAGCACTTCCGCGAACAGGTAAAATGTCTTTGTCTTCTTCATTCTCTCTTGAGTAAACGCACTGGGAGCGCATGGGCTCAACCAATTACTAGCGCTTCACGGTTAGGTCGCAGGCGACCGTAAGCGCGAGGTACCTGATCGGACTGGGGGACTGGACCGGGGACGGACCTCACTGGGACTCGGACTCACCACTCCGGACTGGGACTCTTGCCTTACCATGTTTTGAAATATGTAAATATAATTGAGAATTTTACCGTAATATAAAATACCACAATACCAGTATATTTATCAGGCGGTCTTAATGCAATTGTATACAGCTTGACCACTTCGCTTCGCCCTTTTGCGTTACCGGCATACAGATTCAAGACATAGCTGACTCTGCTATCGATCCCAAGCACTTCAAAACTAGACGTGTAGTTGGAAGATACATTGGCGCGAACCTACATAAATTAAATCAGACATTACTATAATTATCAAATTTAATACTATTTTAAGCATAATCTTTAAAATACAATTAAATATAAATTATAAATACTATCGGCGGGGTTTCCGGTGTTTGATTGGTTGGTTTTTTGGTTTTTTTTTGTGTTTTCCATTTTTTTTTGTGGTTGCGTTTTGTGTTTGTTTACCATGAACAAGTTATATGAGATAAAATAATAGTCCGATTGTTTCACTTTTATATTCAGTTAAGTTATAATTTATTTGTAGGCTAACTTAATTGAGCGGTTGAAAAATCTAATTACCACGCACTTGGAATTTAAAATATAGAACGGACAGAATGTCTGATTTTTTATTACTTATACTGAGCCTTCTCTTCAAATTTGGCCAATTCTTGCAAAGTAACCCTGTTATATTATTTTAACTACAAATGTAAAGTATAAAATTTTTAAGCAATTATATATATATATATATATATATATATATATATATATATATATATATATATATATATATATATATATATATATGGTGAAATATTTACATAAATTATATAGATAAATATCTATAAATGTAAAGTGTGGTATACATTTCCCTTTGACTATGAAAACAAAGGCTAAATTAAAATTTGACTAGAATTACATTACGATTGGCTCGTGTTATCATCATCATCATAATTAACTTTATTTTAAATAATGCTATTTATAATTATATTACAAAAATATACTCAAACATTTTACTAAGTTTCCATGAAAAACGTAATACAGCGACCGTTTTTAGTAATTTCCGTAATATCCAGAAATAGCTCAAAGCGAACTTTATTTCTTGAAAGTAACGCAACAGCTTTACGTAAATATATCAAAAGCTTTGATGTTAGAAGCAAAACATGTCGAATGATAATACTTAAATACTGTTAAACTTTTAACTTCGCGACGTCAAAAATACTTACAAAAAAACGGTACGCTACGTCCAAGCAAATTAAAAATTGGTTTTCAATAGGAAATTTCTGAGCAACTTAGTAAAATAAATAGATTACTTGAGATAAAATATAGAGGATACGAAGACCGGAGCGACAGATCCAATTACGGATAGAAAATATGGCGTCTAACGACACAAAGCCGACCCCGAGTAATTGGCAAAGATAAAAAATAAAACAATGGTGTCTTCTAACGTAAAAGTAGATCGAAAGTAAGTAAACAACATTGTTAATAGGAATTATAGCGATTATACGTGACTGTAAAATTTAAAAACATAAAGGCCGGTTTAAATTACTCACCACTAATGAAGGCAACTCTAAAACTTCCATGAAAAAAGTTTGTGGCAATCCTCCATCGAAACCTTCATAGCATTCAACTGCAAGGCTATTTGAGCTTTGATTGACGATTGAACAATTCTGAAGAGGAGACGGCCGATCTAAATTAAAAGATTAAAATAAAATTTGCATCATTTATTCAACGGAATCATGAAAATTTGGTAACAATTTTAAACAAACAAATATTTTTCATGGAAAATATTTGTCCTTTTTTTGTACTTGAATAAAATGTCATCTAAAGAGCCTTACACATTTCTCTTATATATTATAGAATATCATAGAAATTATAGATATTATAGAATTTAAGATCGAAGATCTAGAAAACTTGCAAGCATGAAATATAAAAGAAATTATAAATTACGATTCAAGGGAAGGAGGAAACATTATATACGTTGCTGAAAATAGTTTTTATATGAACAAAAAGAAAAACAAAAGGAACATAAAGAATTGTAAATTGAGTTTTAAAATATTCTGTATCGCTCTAGAGTCTGACGGTTGCAACCACAATATTATTAGAAATCGTAGTTTGAGGAAATTTATACGGGAATTCAAACATTGACTAAACTAAGTTGTCCGTATAAAACAATATAATATTCTCTATTTGATTGTTAGGAACGTCAATAATATCAGTTTATGTAAGATTACCTGCAATAACAATTTTAAAAATACAAGGAACTTCTTGTCTTCCAGCTGCGTTCACAGCGTAGCAGGATATTGTACCGTAGTCCATATTCGATTTTGGAGTGTAGCGTAATGTTGATGAGTAATTGTAATTAGTGAACAAGCTAAAAATATCAAAAATAACGTTAAAAAGTTTTGCTATTTTATATTAGGCCTAGTGGTGGCGGCAACTGAATTGCCAAATTGCCCTGTGAGAAGATATTTGCGATAGTTGCCACGCTTGCCAAGTGGAAGACTACCGCAGTTTTTTTGTTATCTGATTGTTATTACGTAAACGCTGCTGCCCATTTGTTGTGCTCGTTTGATTTCCTCTATCGCCTTTAACAACATCTACGGGGTGATATAGGAAAGTATTTTTATACCGCCCCATATGAGTTTACGAGTCAAATATGACATCTACAATATAAAACACTCTGTTAATAATTTCATTTTTTAATCTAATTTCGATGTCCGCATTTAAAAATACTTTCATGTGAAGGGCCTTTCTTTTATTTTATGCTCAAAACGTTTAAGAAAGTGATTCCCCTTAGAGGCATTAGGTGACAAACAAGCATACAGTCCACCTAATGGTAAGTGGTTGCTGTGGCCTATAGACATCTACGTATATCCTCGATTACAAATCAAAATGCAGATGCGTTGTCACCCTTGAAGACTAAGATGGAATGCCTCGTTTCCAGTAAAAAGGGTCTCTGTTTCTCCACACTCACCATACGAAACACAGCAGCATTAAGCTACTATTTTACGCTGGTATTCTGTGATAGCATGGTCATTTCCCTGTCGAGCCGACGCATTTATGCTTCAATTATACTACTAATATAACTGCAGCATGCCTCTACCACGTTGGTGGTGGACACCTTTTTTAATATATGAAAAATAAGAGTCTAAAAACAGTGCGTGTTGCCATTGATGGCAAATGGATTTGAGACGTGGTCTTACACTGTTAGCTGAATGAGTTATTCTATCAACCAATCGTATAATCAGTACGGTCTATCGGACAATCGGTACGGTAGTAAAATCAATGAGAATAGTCATTATGTAAAAATGATGTAAGATATCCACTACACATTATAGCCCCGAAGTTGTCGAAGGTGTGTCAACATCTTCTTAAAATCAAATGAAGAAAACTGCGGGTGCCAACCGTAGCAACGACGATAAGCCCTATGAGGCAAACTATGGGGGTGGCTTGTATTCAGTTGGAGACTTTTAATAGGCTGTAATGGTATTTTTTTACATCAATACGAGTAAACTTAATGGCAGAAATCAACTTAACATTATTTTAGTCTTCACATTGGTCATGATCTGCCAAACGATACAAGCATTTAAAACTTGTGCCACCATCTTTGAACTATAACAAAGAGCGCTCAGCTTCCAAGCTTTAGGTATTTTTTTAATATTGGCTTAAGTGCTCTTAATTACATTTAATAAATCCATTTCAATGAAAAGAATATAAACGATAATATATAATTAATTTTATATCTAGGAGCACCTATATTTTTATAAATAATTTAAGAGATTAAAAACGTTAAAACTACGCATTGATCATGATCTATGAGCTGATAATTATTTTATTTCATTCTGGTGATCCTCATCAGGATACTATAATAAAGTTACTGAAATATTGTAATGTCATCTGTTTTTGATACGTGTGCTAATTTTCCAGTTAATCGGCTGTCAACAAGTAAGTGAAAATTATATTAAAATATTCAGTTCCATAGATACACGCGAAGCGAATAAAAGCTTGTTAAACAAATGGTAGCACCTATATTTTTATAAATAATTTAAGAGATTAAAAACGTTAAAACTACGCATTGATCATGATCTATGAGCTGATAATTATTTTATTTCATTCTGGTGAACCCCATCAGGATACTATAATAAAGTTACTGAAATATTGTAATGTCATCTGTTTTTGATACGTGTGCTAATTTTCCAGTTAATCGGCTGTCAACAAGTAAGTGAAAATTATATTAAAATATTCAGTTACATAGATACACGCGAAGCGAATAAAAGCTTGTTAAACAAGTGGTAAAATTAAAAACAACCAACTTAAATATAAATAATATGAGAACATCATCGATATATTTCAAATCAATTAAAAACGTATTATTAAGGATAACTCAAAAGATACCGATGAAATCTTGATCAAATTTATAATAGACTGCATGAGAAGGACCAGTTTTCTAGTAAAAAATATTCATCAAAATCAGCTCACCAAGAAAAAAGGTAACACATAAAAAAATACAGTCGATTTGAGAACCTCCTCCCTTTTTTCTATTCGGTTGAACAGAATACTACTAACAAAAGAAAACAAATTCTATTAACGTTACGAATATTCACGTTACAATTCCAAGTCAATTTAAATGCTTGTTCTATGAGTTATGACAGTAGTCGAGCAGCGGATCCGAACAGATAGTAACTAAAGAAAAAAGTACCTGGGTTGGAGCTCGGACTGGCCTGCAGAGTTACTCAAAATCCAACTGAAGGCTGTAGGAGTCGGACTGGAGTCTACTCTACACGGCAGCTCGATTGTTTCATGTTTGAGAGCACCATACACGTCTCCTTCATTAGATTGTTTGCATACTGGAGCATCTTAAATTTTAACAATGGTTAACTGGTTAAAACAGTTAGTATCTAAAAACTTTATATGTTAAAACACCTTAATTTGCATACGAACATCTAACAAAAGAGTAACACTATTTTTTTTTTGTTTGAACAGTTATATATATAGCTCTAGAAAGAACAGTACCACTGCGACCCAAAATATTTATTGTGATCACTGTTAAGAATATAGTTCACTGCTAAGCGTTATGTCTTCAATGAATAGATAGAGTCGCTTAGCTGTGAACAATTTTACTTCTTCTGGGCGAAGTGCATAGTTTCCCAGATGAGTGTTACGTTTGCGCATTAAGGATCCACAGTCAATAAGAATGTGTAGAGGCGTTTCTTCCATTCAGGAACAAAATCGGCACGCCTATGAGTTGCTAAGGTGTTCGCATATTGTGAAATTATAGCGCGCGCTTAAGAGAAAGACTTTAGTAATAAAGTAACATGCTTGTGAATGATATTAATGGAGGCTATTTAATTATATGCTTATAATAATTACTCACATCTTACTTGGAGCGTAACCGAGTTACTGGTAGCACTGCCTTCGTTGTTGTATGCAAGGCAACTGTAATCACCCGAAGATGAACGATTTACTCCCTGAAGAATCAGAGTTTGGTCACTAATGATAACACCTGAACTCGCAATTTGTTGTATTTCTTTCGTCTGTAATTAATATTGTATTTAAAAATAAACTTATTCCTTTTTCAAACTCTAGTGATTATCGAATTCAAAAAGTGCAAGGGTATGCAAGGGCCTCTCTTGTAATTTTAATAGATTGTGTCACATTTACGGTATTATATATAAAGTCATTGATAATTTGTTATAAGCATTTTACCTTACAAAATTAGATATGAAAAAAAAATAATTAAAACTCGGTAGTTACTGATGTTTCTTTGTTTCGTTTAGTGAGCGTAGTAGGAAACCAAAGCCCGTTTTTGCTGGATACGAGGCATTCCGTTTTAGTTCTCGAGGGTGACAACGTATCTACATTTTGATTCTTCATCGAAGATAGATGTAAATATCTATAGGCAGCAACATCCACTTACCACCAGGTGGGCTGTGTGCTCGTTTGATACCCATATTCTTTAAAAATTAATAACTTTTTTTGTTTTTTCATAACCCGTGTTTAAAAAAAAATAACATATACAAATACAAACTAAAAATAAAAGAAACTGGGGTTACAACCCCTTCTGGCAAGAATAGCAAGAATAGAAATTATAGCAAACATCCCACGTATTTGCCATAGTTGCTGTAAGGCTACCTACGAAAGCCTATGCTCAGCAATGAACTTTTCATAGGCTGTAACAGAACATCTAAAATAGAACTCTGGTAGATATATCTGAATTGAATAAGACATTAGATATTTTTAATGTTAATTAACACTTAAAATATACAATTTTTTAAATGAAATTACCCCTTTGTACCATGTGAGACGCGTCACCTTAGGATTTGCTTTAATGTTGCATTCAAAATAAACATCCTCGCCCTCCTTAATAACATTAGGATTCAGGGTTGACCCTATCTTTAACGTCACAATAGGCACATCTGGAAATTACGGAGTTATTAAAAAAAACACTCATTAAACATTGTATAAAAGGGTTTTCCTATTGCATTTTCGTTAATAAAATTTGTTTATTTTCTATTGTTTGTTTTAATGTTTTTTTTCCATATCATTTAAATGCAATTGCATGCTGGACGTAGAAATAAGGATACTTTTTATAGCATTAGGTGAAAAACGAGCACACAGTCCACCTTATGGTAAGTGAATGCTGTGGCCCGTAGACATCCACACTTATCCTCAATTAAGAATCAAAATGCAAATGCGTTGTCACTCCTGAGGACTAAGATAGAATGCCTCCATTTCAGTAAAAAGGGTCTCCAGTTCCCTTCACTCACCATGCGAAACACAGCAGCATTATGCTGCTATTTTACGCAGGTATTCTGTGAGAGTGTGGTCCTGCCCCGGTTGAGTAGACCCATTCGTACTACAACTATAATATAGCTGCAGCGTGGCTCTGCCACGTAGCACGTTTCTTTTTTCATAGCGCTACCAACTACGTTAACATGTTACAAACTAGGATTTTCTCATGTATCGTGGAGGCAGTTTATAAACATAAATTGCACAAGGATAAACATTCAGACACGGAACAATTATTTGTAGGCCACAAAAATACTTGTTCCGTACGGTATTCGACCAATTAAAAATATAAAAAAATCATTAGTTTTAATTTTATTAATTATAGCGTCCCAAGCAGGTGGTAGTACCGAGCCTCTTTATCCATTGAATAGACTTCAAGACACAGTAAGTTCATTCCGCGTAGATCGGACCATAAATAATAATTAAAAAGCTGAAGGTACTCCATGTTATTACTGACATCGGGACGTCAGTCACCTCAGTCCCCCGTGACCATGGGTGCTAGAAAGTACCCGAAACTTCAGGATTTTAAAAATAAAATAAATTAACCGCGATAAAATCCGTAAGAAAAGTAGTTTTAATCAATGTGTAGTATTCGCGTAAATATAAGCAATCATTTATCGGTTTATCTTAATTATCTACACTAAATTGAAAGTTCCAATCAAAGCTATTTCAGTCCGTATCTTGTCAATCCTAAATAAATTTGGTTTGATTTAAAATTGGTAGTTGATTAACCTTTACATATTTCACAAGAATGCATAGAGCTTTATGATGAGCATCTTCCGGAATAAGCAGGTCGCAAGCTGAATATTACAAAGGTGTTTTAATTAGTAGATATGAAGTAAAACAGATTACACAGTAGCACTTTTTATTCACTCGATCAAACGAATCACAGTAATTATGTATTATTCCTTGCTTAATGTAAATGAGCACAGATTTGAGCAGAGTAACTAACTTGTAGGCAGGAGACTCACAATTGAACCTCCACTAAGACACAGCAGTACCTTTTATAGTTTATAACGATGTTACGATTACCCACAAATTTTATTATTCTTATATAATATGTTACTCTACGGTTTTATAATTTATTAATCTTATAATCATGCATATAGGTGTAATATGTAATAATATATTATATAGGTGTCGATGGTTTCAAATCCATTGGTAACAATCGGCCATCATGATTCAGACGCGTCCCGCGGCGCTCATTATGTTCGCCACTTTGCCTCTGAAAAGAGAAAAGAAAATTACGCAGTAAATGGTGCTATTTTGAAAAAGAAATCACGTAGACAAGATTTATTATGTTTGATTACAGGCCATGAATCAAGATTGAAACTATTTATGTAAACTACTTATGTAACTAGTTGCTTACCTAACAGTTCTGTTACATTGACAATTTTGGGCTTATTCGCTTAGCCATCCCAGTGTTTTAACAAATATGGATTAATTCAATTAGCTGTCCCGGATCTATAACTATTGTTGACTTGGTCACCTAGCTGTCCCTTCTTTTAATTGTTATGGACTTGTTCACTTAGCTGTCCCTCACTTTTAACTAATATGGACTTGTTCACTTAGCTGTCCCTCACTTTTAACTAATATGGACTTGTTCACTTAGCTGTCCCTCACTTTTAACTATTATGGACTTGTTCACTTAGCTGTCCTATTTTAATTGGATTGTACTGTGTCCCTCACTTTTAACTATTATGGACTTGTTCACTTAGCTGTCCATCACTTTTAACGATTATGGACTTGTTCACTTAGCTGTCTCTCAGTTTTAACTACTATGGACTTGTTCACTTTAGCTGTCCTGGTATTTTAATCTGTACTTTAGCTGCTTCTTATATATATATATATATATTTTAATGTGTTTTAATTAAAACAATATTTTAGTTAACTTTATTATCACAACAACTACTAGTACAGAATTATTAACAATAAGTGAAAATTAATTCAATTAAACAATTACATTATGTTTTTTTAAATATTTTTCTAGAAACTAATAAGATGCACAAATTTTCAACAAAGGCAGCTTAACTTTCTAAGAGGTCTATCAAATCATCCCTATCTACTTCACGGTCGCTACATGAACTGTCATCATCAGATAGTGTTGATTTATATGGTCGTAGACTCTCTCCACTAACTACAGCATTAAACCTTCTATAACCTTTCATACCCATAATACTACATATTTTATAACGATCGAGTGATTGCTCGGCCTTACAAATTTTGTATGTACCCGTGTATGAACCATTAAATTTTTTGGTGACTTTAGCAGTTGTATCTCTAGCTACACCCCCTTTCCATAAAACCAAATCTCCCACTTTATACTTTCGGCATTTTTTATGCTTACGATTAAACCTACTTTTCATTAAGGTCATATTCCTAACAATACGGAATTTGGCACCCTTTCTTCTAGCCTGTAAGTTTTGTTGTTGAGAGTCATGATCTTTGAGGCATTGGAGGAGAGATATGGCGAAGCTCCCCTGGAACACGTCTTTCGTGCGCAGCTTAAAGATCGCGTGCAGCGCATCAACGAAAACCTGCAGCAGTGGGCTCTAGAGGTGGAGAAGCTGGTGCGAAAAGCATACCGGTCTGTACCTGCGCTTATTGAAGGGAACCTGGTGCAGACATTCATCGACGGCATCCGCGACCTGGAAGTCAGAGCTGCTGTGTGGCTCGGGCACCACGAGACGCTTAAGGACGTCTTGGCCCATGCACTGGAGGTGGAAGCCGTGCGGCAGGATCATCGTTCCCATCGCGTCAGGGAGGTTGCAGCAGCTACAGTTCGCGACCGCAACAAAGGATACAGTCCTAGGTGCTATGGCTGTGGGGAAAAGGGCCATATACGATACAGCTGCCCTAAGTGAACTGTAGAAAGGGAAGTTGATCGATCTCTAGAGGGTAGTGCTGCTAACGGCACCGCCTGGCGGTGGCAGCAACATCATTCCCCTCACGCTAGGGAGGTTGAATCAGTTGGCGACCACAATAAAGGATACAGCCCTAGGTGCTATGGCTGTGGGGAAAGGGGCCATCTTCGATCCAGCTGCCCTAAGCGAACTCTAGAAAGGGAAGGTGAACGATCTCAGAAGGGAAGTGCGGCTAACATCACCGCCCAGCAGCAGCCGGGATACGACTTTACTATCAGACATCGCAGCGGGAAATCTCATGGCAACGCAGATGCATTGTCACGAAGACCTTGTACTGAAGATTGAAAACATTGTACTAGGCAGGAGAGTAAGGAAGTGGTATCCGTGAGGATGCTCAGGACAGACTACCTCAGCAACGAGTGGAAGGACATCTTACAACATGCACAGCAGGAAGATCCGGACATCAAGCCGATTCTGGAATGTATGAAGGCCAGTGCTCCCAAGCCCAAGTGGAGCGATGCCTCAGCGATGAGTTCGACCACTAAAAGCTATTGGGCCCAATGGGACAGCTTGCTGCTTCAGGATGGAGTTCTGTGCCGTAAATGAGAAAATGTTCGGGGAGACAGCTGCCACTTGCAAATGGTTGTCCCTAAAGCTAAAGTACAGGATGTTCTACAGTTGTACCATAATGATGTGAGGCCATCTGGGAGTTGAAATATGAGACCGAGAACGGTTTTATTGGGTCCACTGTCGAAGCGATGTCGAGGACTGGTGTCGCAAATGTACAATGTTGGTGCACCATGGGAGAGAATAGCCATTGACGTGGCGGGGCCGTTTCCGGAGAGTGAAAGCGGTAACAAGTATTTCATGGTTGTGATGGATTACTTCACTAAGTGGCCAGAAGTCTTCGCCATTCCAAATCAAAAATCTTCAACGGTTACAGATAAACTAGTTCATGAATTCTTCTGTCGTTTTGGAGTACCTTTGGAGATTCACAGCGATCGAGAAAGGAATTTTGAGTCTCAAATATTCCAGGAAACTTGCCGAGTTATGGGTACTCATAAAACAAGAACAACTTCTTATCACCCGCAATCTAATGGAATTGTAGAACGATTTAATCAGACATTAGAGAGGTATCTAGCAAGAGTTGTAGACAATCGGCAACGAGGATTGGGACAAGTACATATAACCGTTTTTATTGTCATATCGAAGTTCTGTTCACGAAAGTACAGCAGTGACACTAGCTTTCGCAAACTTTGGAAGAGAATTATCACCGGGATACCGCCTGATACCCCACGCAGTATAACCGATTATGCAAATGACTTGCGAAACAAAGTGAATGACATTTATGAGCACGTCAGACAATCGGGCCAGCAAATGTCTGAGAAAATGAAAACCCGGTACGACCGTAAAATGAACACGGGTTCGACGAAGGTTCACTAGTGTGGTTGCACAATCCAGTCCGCAGCAAAAGGGAAATCTCCTAAGCTTCAAGCTAAATGAGACGGCCCGTACCGGATTGTGACCAGGATCAACGTTGTAACCTACCGGATACAGAAAGGCGCAAGAGGGACTCCTAAGATCGTCCATGTGGATCGCCTGGCGCGTTATTATGGGGCCGATAATGCTCGGGACGAGCATGTCTTAGGAGGGGCAGTGTTACGCGCCTAAGTCGACGGCACTAGCGCAATCTGGTGTCAGAGATGAGAGCGAGGGGAGCTTTCCAGAAAATGACATCACTAATCTTTCTACCGACAGCGCCA